TGTTGAACTTCTATAGAATCTATGAATACTGAGTACTCTAGTTTAGTATCGTACTTTGATTGATTCCATCAGAGTTTATTGTGATTTTGATTAATCAACACCTGTCCTGTTTAATCATATTTTTTATCATATTAATATCTTTTGACAGCCCATACTATGTCCTTGAAAATAAACAGATGACATTTTTAATTTATTTTTTATTTTTTGTAGAAACAGATCAAAAAATTGTATTTCTGATCATTTAAAAAAATGTGTTTTTATAGAACCAATAATTCAAGATCAGGTGCCATGTGTCTCTGTCTTACTTTGGTGTCAGTGCTGATACAACAGTCAGCACTGGAAGATTTCAATGTTTTTCTTCAAAAGATTTCATATTTGTTCATGTGTATAATTAAGTTAAAGGTTAAGTCACTTGGCTGTTACTGAAAGTACAATGTTTTTTTTATCTGTCACTTCTTTATTCATTTAAAAAGACATTTATTCATATAAACAGACTTCAGTAAGTTTCCCATCAGCCAAATCGTTCAATCTTATCAGTAAAACAAGATTTTTCTTTTCTCCATTATTCCAGGCTTCAACATCACTGAGTCCAATTATAATCAGTCCCAGTTCTCCACCGTCCAGCAGCTGCAGGACTCCAGCACCCTTGAATCTCAGGCCCTGTCCTCAAGTTATCACCCCCCAAATCTGCTTCATGTTCCCACAGCCGAAGTGGTAAGATGTGCTTTTTCTTTTCCCCTTGATATCCCTCCACTGGTTGCTCATTACTGGCCTTTGTTTTAATCATTTCTTCACATTGTACAACTGAGAAAACAGAGCAAGTTAAATCTGGTTGGTTGATCATTTGTTCACAAACCCCTGGGTGTTGAGTGGATTATTAAATTAGATTCTGAATCAAGTTGCATATATTTGCATATTGATAGAGCTTGAATTAGTTTGAGTCATAAGAGTAAGTAAAGCAATAATTAAAAGTAACAATCAGAATGAAGGCGCCACATATTGAATGCATTTAATAATTGATGGACAGATTTGCTTGATCAGAGTAAATATGCAAAACACTGCAGACACTTTCTTCTTGTTCTGTCTCAGAATTCCTCTGCATTTTAACTATTAAATGTAAGATGTGTGGGAAAAACTCCTAATGCCAAATATATAGTGATATTGTATAGCTTTAAGGCTGAAGCTGGATATTTTTTCAGTTCCAGCCACAGGGTAAAAAAGTGGGGAGATAGAAGTCTACTTGCAGCTTCTTCATGTCAGGCGGAACTACTACCTTCCTTAATTGAACATTAAAATAAAATATTACAATAAATTTAATAAAGTTAAAATGAGGTAAATAACGTCATTCATCTTTCTCTGTTTGATGTGACCTAAACCATGTTGTGATATAATGTTTTTGTTTTTTATTTTATTCAGACTAATGGTCTCCTTCAGCAGAGCAGCCAGAATGACCTTCAGTTGAATGAGACTCAGGACTATCAGGACGACTGTGAGGACAGCAGCAAGAGAGCCTACAGGTTTGTCTTCAGTCTTAACACTGTCTTTATTCTCTAGTCAGTGTCCTTGTCACATATTCCAAGAATCTCACTTAATAATTTTTATCTTTTGCAATCCCAGCATTATGACTCGTGGGTCTCCTGTCACCTTTAAACAGCCGAATGCCCCAACGGCAATTTGACCTAGTTTCTTAAAGCAAATCAATGAAAATTATTTCAGCCATGAGGTGACCTGTGACCTTTTGAGTTTTCACTCAGTCAGTTTCTGATTGTTATTACATAACATTTACTCTTGCTGGAGGCTCTTTCATTTAAAGACGTTCTTAAGGAAGATGTAAAAAGACTTTTTTGGAATCTTGTTTTCACTCCAACCACTCATTAAGCTTCACTTGCTGCAATCTGCTGAAGACATGACATCACCATGCAATGAGGCAAATCCTGATTTTTACCAAAACACTTTGTCAGGCCTAAATCAATTTCTGCCACATCTCATGAAAATCTACTCCAATAGTTGTTTGTGATGAGGAGTGACAGACTCTTTTTCCTGCCAGTTGCTGAGGTGACGGTGGACACTCAGACACTCTGAACAAGAGCCATTAAGTTGCTTTTCATGGGTTTGGATAGCTTTTTGTACAGAGTCCGTTATCATTTATTTATCAGTCAGTTATTGTTATAGATTTGGCTCAGTGAATCAATTGACAGCCATAATTGTTCTTAATCTCACAAATCAATCAGTAGCTGTGGATTAATCATGAATAATCGTGATTTATATCGTGATAAAAAATTCATGATTAATCATAAATCATAATTATTATCATTATAAGAAAAATAGTCACAAACAGCTGGCATATTAAGGGAAAAGTAAAATATCAGAAAACCATGACTAAAAGTTTCCTTCTGTTTAGGTGGATTTTATTTGTTTCTGTGCATCTTGAAAGCACCATGTGCAGTGTGATGAGAGTTGTTTCTAGAACTTCTGTAAATCCATTTTCCTCAATATTAATATCAGCAGTCTCTTGCAATCCATGTATTAATGTAGTCTTAGCACTGTGTAGGTTCACATTTATTCTATAAAAGACATCCGTGTTCAGTCTGATTTGCTCTTTTATGTAGAAATGTGTGGAATTCCTTTGCCACAGGTGCTCCTGGTGTAACAAAGGCTTCAAAAAGTCGAGCCATCTGAAGCAGCATGAACGTTCCCATACTGGAGAGAAACCGTATACATGTCACCAGTGTGGAAGAGCCTTTGTATCATCTGGAGTGTTAAAGTCCCATCTTAACACACACACAGGTCAGAATATTAGCATTAGATGAAAATTTTAGGTTTAACGTGGTGAAGCCTTGAGTTCCCGAGACCCGACTGCTGAAGATTTTTTTACCTTGCAGGAGTAAAACCCTTCAAGTGTCGACTTTGCAATGCATCGTTTACCACCAACGGTAGCCTGAACCGTCACAAAATCGTCCACCTCAACTCCTTCAAGTGTTCCATGTGTGACGAGAGCTTCAGAACAAGCCTGCTGTATAAAAAACATATGAAAAAGGAACATGACGTGGCTAGTCACAGTAAGGACAGCATTGTCATAACACAGTACGTTTGGCAATTCTACTGTGATTAAACATTTTCCTCTCAGTCATAGGCCTGGAGGGACCGGATGTCGAGGAAGAGGAGGAGAGTGACCAGAAGCTGGCAAAAAGAAGGGGTATGGAGATAATTACCTTCACAAAGGAGCAGGCAGAAGAGCTGGCCAAAGATCCTGGGGAGGAGGCCTCGGTGTCGGAGCGGATTCTTGCTCAGTCAGCAGCTGAGAGAGATCGTATCAGCGAGATCAAGGATAAGGCTGTGGAGCTGGAGACAGAACCCAAGTTTTCTAATTGTTGCCCTTACTGCCCAAAGAGCTTTAAAAAGCCCAGTGACCTGGTCAGGTAAAAAAAAATCATCTATTCAACTCAACTATTACGTTGAATCTGAAAAATTAGTTGTTTGGAGATTGGTTCTTGGAAATTAATTAAACATTCTCACTGAGCACAAGTAATTTCTAAATGCTTCAAATTTGCTGGATTACCACAAACATTTCTGAAGCTGTAAAAGAGATGAAATTAGTTTAAATTAAAAATAAGTTCAGCTAACAAGCTTTGTTTAACACACCTTAAAACTCCCTTTGTGATGGCCATGTTCAAGCTCTGCTACCTGACACAAATTGCTGTGATTGGATCTCTGTTTAGATGCCCCACCTTGTGGCTCTGCCTGGCTCTTGCCCACATTTGTTTCCACTTCCACAAAACAAAATCAGTGCTAATTGGACTTCATCTCTGCCAGACATCTTTTATCCTGTTTTTATTTGTTGACAAATTCACAAGTTAAATAAATCATCATGTCACATTTATTACTATTTTTTCCATTACTTTTATTTGTCCCACACAAAGTACAATTACAAGTTGACTTAATTCACAATAGTTTGCTGTTTGAGACTTATTCTGTATGTGTTCTGTATAACACTAAAGATGTCTTTGAAAAATTGGTGCAGTAGATAAAGTGCATTTTTTTATATTTCATCAAGGTTTTCCCCATGGGAACAAAAGACCACAAGAACAATTGTAACTGTAACCTTATAAAAGCACATCAAGAAACTGTGATAGCTTTTCAGTGGAGGGAGGCAGTAATGCACATGAACCTGGTCATCTGGGAACAATTGCAACAATGTGATATATGGTGCTAAAAAGTACATTTAAAATCTGTTGATTATTATAATCATTGTTTCCTTCTATACTGTTGATTGTAAGTCTTGACAGAACATTGTAGTGAGGAATAAATCACTGTATCAATAATATTTATTTGGGCAGCCAGCAACTTTTCAAAGCTCATCATCAGTTGCTATAAACTGTAAATAAAACTGTAGACACATGAGTTACTGTTGAACTAAAACAAGTCTGCTGTGTCCTTCCCTCCCTCCGCCCTCACCTACATCCTCCATCTGTCACTGTGCTCCATCTAATACCACGTGGTCTAGGCACATCAGGATCCATACAGGAGAGAAACCTTACAAGTGTGAAGAATGTGGGAAGAGTTTTACAGTGAAGTCTACTCTGGACAGTCACGTGAAAACACATGCAGGTAAGTAAAGCACATCAATGAATCCTTGATTAAGTGACCCACTTGGAACTTAATCTATCAAGCACAAGAATAATGAAATGTCAGTCAGTGTGTGTAGTGATCATCTTTAATCTGTGTCAAAATGACTTGTTTTATGTAGAAAGGTTTCAACATACTGTTGTTACATTTCTCCCATTCTGGCTGTTAAGAAGATTTTAACTTCTTCAAAAACATTTGTCCCACAAGCAAACCAACCACAACAATACCTGTTAACTAACTGTATGAGGTTATGTTACCTCTGTCACAACAGACATGTTTTTCCTAATGTTACCCTTGTTATGTGAAAAAAAAGGTTAAGGTCAATCACCAAAGTGATTTTGTTTTGTTTTAATCACATTTAAATGAACAAACCTTTCTTTAAAACCAAAGTTGTTTTATTTTTCTTGCACAAATTTCTTGGGTGAGAGGTTGCGATTGAACTGATGATAATTTTCTTTTTCAGGTCAAAAACTATTCAGCTGTCACATGTGCAACACCTCCTTCTCCACAAAAGGCAGCTTGAAGGTGCACATGCGCCTCCATACCGGCTCCAAGCCTTTCAAGTGTCCTTTTTGCGAACTCCGCTTCAGAACATCAGGACATCGTAAAACCCACATCCAGTTCCACTTGCGGCCAAACGGAGACTCTCGCAAATGCAAGCGCTCAACGTCGTCAGCGGTTCATACCAGCCAGAGTCAGGATGTGATGACGAGTCACGTCATTACCCCGGCGCAGGGACAGCACACGCCTGTTACGGAAGCTCTTCAGACTCTACTACCATCGTCCAACTCTGACCCCAATATTTACCTTCAATCCAACCAGGTCCTAACAGGACAGTTTGACCAAAGTCTGCTGCAGCAGGGGCTGGTGGGACAGGCCATCCTGCCGGCATCTATGTCAGGTAGGAATTGTTTTAAGCAGTTATGCAGAGCAAAGAAAATCATAAAAGCTGCTTTTTTTTACTTTTGGTAAACACAAGTAAATGTGTTTGCTACATACCACGTTGAAATGCCTACAGTGTCTACAATTGAAGAAAAATTGTTTATCAATCAGATGTTTACATTCATGACATTTCACTGATGCACTTAAACGTTACAAGTGTAACTGGGTTGTGGCAGAAATCATCACCTAAAGTGTCAGCTGCTCACTTGGCATTCATTCTAGTGCATCAATACTGACTCTGAGGAAAAGATGAATCACACCAACATTAAACCTCACGAGGATTAGCTTCTCCCTGGCGGCAGCCCCCCCTCTGTGCGTCCCCCTTACATCTGATCACGACACACCATCCGATCCTTTTTTCTGACCAGCCTGCTTTTACGTGATACCAAGAAATGTGTGAAGAGCTTCCAAACATGTACTAGGATTTGTGACTCAGCTGAGCTCCCTGCGTTCTGTTTCTCTCAGAGCTAATGCAACAGGCTTTCACACTTCAACGGTCAAGAAGTTTTCTGAAATTGCTTGGATCTTGAATAGTATAAAATTTAATAAAAGGATACCAGGCCATTAGATAGGAAAAGTTTCAAAGGCCTTTATTTATTTCCATTTTTATGACACTAAAATGTAAAGTTCTCTTATAGACTGTTATCTACCCCACAACTCACATTAATATTCCCCATGAAGGTTTCAAAATGTGCAAATATGGGTGGTTTTGAGATTTCAAACTGTGCTGAGGAATATAAGTCTTAAGAGCAGGTGGAGATCTGCACTGAGGAGAAGAGAGAAAACCAAGAAGGTCGTGAGTTGAGTGTATCATTACACCCCTACAGAACACCCTGGAGTAGTCAGAAAATTGTGTGTTTGCCCTTGTTGACATCTTACCTCTGCATTACCATTAAAACCTGAACAGCTAGGGACAAGAGACAAACAGAACCAGTTTGTCTTTTCTCCCCTGACAAAAGAGTTTACAGCAGCAAGATGAATTTACTTAAGTCTCAGTCTGGAGTCTAGCTTCACCTGTGCAGTGGTGAAATGCAGATTGCACGGAGTTGGAGTGAATGTTAAGCAATAGTGAGGTGTGTGTGTTTTACTTATACCTAATTCCTCTGTTTGCGAATCTCTGAGAAAGGTTCTCATTTTGCTGACAGAGTAAAGAAACATCCTTTCATCATCGGGGGAAAGCAGTGAAAACATTCTCTTTGTTGTCCTTGAGTCCTTTGGATCATATTCATGAGCTGCTCTGTATTCTTACATCTGAGATGTTTTGTCATCACCATAAACAACTGGACATTTGTTGGTATCAAGAGACTATTGTTTGATGTGTCATATACATATACTATCTGACACCTGTCTTTTATCTCACCTTTGTTACTGTATGAAATCCCAGATAGCAGCACGTTAGTTTTTCATCAAAACATTGTGTTTAAAGAAAAGCAACCACCCTCCCCCTCCTGTAACCTCTGTGCTCATCAAATGTTGCAGACTATATTATGTCCAAATGGTTTTGACTCCAAATCTGTCACAGCCAGTCCATTGAACTAAACAGGAGATTATTTATAAGGTGTAAAGTGCAGCTTGACGCTGGGAAAAATTTGCGTTTGTTGCCATGAAGGTTAATTAAATTGACAGAACAAAGCGTGAAATATTCAAATATGTTCCTGTGTGTTACAGCTGCAGGAGACCTAACTGTTTCACTCCCTGATGGCCTCACAACCCTGGATGGCATTCACCTGCAGCTGACGCCAGCCAATCTGGTCTGCCCGAACGTCCAGATCTCTGCTATTGACACCAGCAACATCAACAATATCACAGTGCAGGTTACAATGACACACACACACACACACACACACACACACACACACCTCCTTTCCAGGTGTTTTTATTAATGTATGTTGCAACCTTAGCCCTAATATGTGGATATTATTCTTGACCAAAGTGAGTCAATAGGCTCAACAAACCTCAGAACTGAGGATAAAGAAAATCAATTAGTAATATTATATGGGTGAGATGTACAATTATATAATTACAATGTCTGATTGTGCACAACTCGGGTAATAAATTGTTTTGAAAACAGTCATATTATTATGTCATGACATAAAAGAGATGTAAACTGAGTAAAAAGATCATCAGGTTTGTATAATAGCCTAAATGACTTCACTTTTGGTAAGATTTTATCAGAAAAAAAAGAATAGCCTTAGTTGCTTGAATTAAATCCAGCACATTTGTTTGATTTCATTATATGGTTGAAGTTTCTCAGTATCCCAGGATATAGAATAGTGCAGTAAAAATGTATTTAAATTTAAAAATCTGACCTCTCTGGGGTTTTTTGCTGAAAAATGGTCTAAGAACTGATCTCTGAAAACAAAGGGGAAATGTTTCAGTTATTGCAGTGTTTAACCTTGATGTAAATACTGAACTTACATAGATCAATGTGTGATTTATGAGTTTTTGTATATCTGTAGTATCTGTGATAAATTTGGTTTCTTCAGTTTCAAACTCCTTTTTTTCCAGATTGACCCAACCCTTCTCCAGCAGACTTTACAACAGGGTCTCCTCTCTCATCCCTTGAGTGTGGACGCCGGCCTTGTCTCCCACTCCAACAGTCAGCTAATGTCCACCACAGAGGCTTCAGCTAATGTCGTCATTCACCCACTGACCAGTCTGGCTCTGCAGCCCCCAACAATTACACCTGCACAGGTCACAATGGCCGGACTCACAGAGCAGGATGCTACAGGTTTGTCTGCTGGGGGAAAAAACAAAAAGAAGTTTCAGCCTTAATACCCTCTGCTGTAAGCTGAATCACTGATGTGGTATTTACCATACATGCTACAGGTTCCCAGGACCTGACCCATGTCATGAGTAACTCTGGGCTGGTAGCTGGAGGCAGCAGTGGGCAGGAGATCACACTGACCATCAACAACTCCTCCCTGACCCAAGCACTTGCTCAGGTGCAGGCTCAGGCCTCAGTTGCAGGGTCAAGTGGTGTAGCAGGGAATCATCAAGAGATCACCCTCACTATATCAGGTATGGACATTATTATTTTTTGAAAGGTTAAAGTAAAACACAGCTAGTAACTATACGTAATAATATGTGCAGAGGTTTTCAAAGATTCTGAGTGACAAACTGTTCAATCCCACACAATTGCAGGACAGGATCTGCTCCCACAGCATAGCAGCCATAATGCTACTGATATTAGCGGCAGCATTCGGCTAGTGTCAGCACTTAACCACCAGCCCACCCCCACGACCCTAACCATCACCAATGACCACCTCCTACCTCACAGTCCAGCCAACACTGGAATGGCAGGTGAGCACTGTTGTACAAATGTGCACTAGTGGACCTGAAATGAACTGCTGTCTTTACAAAGGGTTTTGTTCACCTTGTGCAAATTTTTAATTTTGATTCAATGAATTCCAAGTTGTGCAAGAACCAAAAAAAAATGTTTCACTGGTTACAGTACATAAGACAGTAGTTAATAAGGCAAAGCTGGGAATAAGACCTTTCAGTGTCCCACTGTTTTTCTGGTATCTGATCACGTTACATGGTCACAGTTTGAATTAGATTAAAAAATACCTCTGTGAAATTTAAGATAACAAATAAACCGATGCTGTACTCAGTCCTAAATAAATTTGTTCCAAGTTCCTTTCAAATGATTCTTCAGCCTTGGAAGAAGATCAAAACTTAAGCAAAGCTTCAAGTCTTCAAACTTGTTGAAGCTTTTAATGTCAAACACATTCTAAGTTATAGTCTGTATTAGAACTTTTTGACTAAGCCTATCAATTCTATGAGGTAATAAAATGAAGACAAAGCTGTGAATTTTGACCTGGTCCACTCAAACAGAACAGGTCATCAAATCCACAGCTCAACTCCAAAAATAATGGCAAGACCATGGGACGTGTTTTGCAGGGTTTTTCTGAACACATTATTCCAACATCCCACCTGAGCTGAACTGATTAAACTGTCAAACATTTAAATGGAATGAGTGAGCATGTTGTTAGGAGAGTTGTTTGTCTTCCTCTCACTGCTCAAAAACAATACAATCCATAAACAGAAAGGGTGACCAGATTCAAAGCCTGTTTTTTGCTGAATTAGTGTAGCATTATTATACGTTTAAAGACAAGTAGTCGGCACAAATACGCTTGGATACTGGTTGTTGCTCTGTAGGACGGACAAAGTAGGCAATGGCCAGAGTTGTAGTCTTGTGTGCTGAGAAGTGCAGAAGAGCAGAGGATTTGTTTAATCAGAATGGCATCTGTTGACTCAGTCTCGGTTTTCAGTGAAAAAACTTAATCAAGTTTCCACTCTCGTCTCTCCCTCTTCATTACCCGTCTCTCTCAGCTCAAGTGGAAAACATTTCCACTTGAGCTGAGAGACACTGGGAACATCGTTGCTGCTGTTGACTATTGGACACAAAGTTTCCCCATCAGTCATGTCTTCGGATACAGATCCAATCTTTGACAAATGAATACGCAAGGTCCATTTTGGAGGTTCTTTTTTTTATTAAGTGTGTTATTGCCTTTTGTTATTCGTGACTAACAGAGTGGAAGCATTTTCTCCCGTCAAATCTATTGACACTGGGCCTGTTGTAAAAACATAAAAGAATCGACGAAATCCAGCTGCTTCCACTTTTCCATTAGAAATTTCAGATAATACATACTGTATGGATTGTCAAAAAAAACCAATACCTGCTTTAGGCAAACCTATACATTTGCCTTTTTATCGTCCTGGTTGTAACCATAGAAAACGGTCAGTGCAAATAATAATTAAATAAATTAATTGGCCAAACATTTGTTAAAGCCATTATTCAGTCATCATCAAAGACATTTTAGCATATAATTGTAATAAAAGCATTTTCAGGTTGCAATTAGTGCACTTCAATTTACATAAAAAATAAATATATTATTATCTTGTACACGTGTCATAGAAAATGTTATGGTTGCAATTTTTTTCTGCAAAGAATCTTAAATTATTCCAATCAGAAGCATTTTTTTTTCTCATGTGATCAGTAACCAGCCTGCCATCAAGCACCACTTTATCACATACTGCCGTGTCGCAGAGCCTTGTGATGTCATCAGGAGGTGTGGCTGTGGATGGCAGCGTGACACTTACACTTGCTGATGCCCAGGGAATGTTGGATGGTGTTACTTTGAACCTCAATGCTCAGGTAAAAAGAAAAGGCTTTGCAGTGAGTAAAAAAAATAACAGATGTTATAGGGCTAATTGAATACACAGAAGAGCTCAATGATGAACAACATGAATGTGAACATCAATGTAACAGTATATAGTCTGTCATCTGCCTGATTGTAAATTATCTTTTCAGGGTCAGACTTTTCCTGCAGTGCTGACTGATGCTGGTCTGCCAGGTCAACAGTCCAGCTCAGGTCAGGAAATTATACTGGTCAGCCACCCATCTGCAAATGGAGCCTCTGACAATGGATATAATGTGAGTGTGGTGAGCTTCTGTGCATGATTACATAGTGGAAAATAACTTTAATAAAGGCTTCATCATCTAACTGGTTTTTCTTCCATAAAAGATCATCACACTGCCAAATGTCTATCTTTTGTGTTCACTCACCAATGGTAATAAAAATATACAACATACTGTATATCAACAACAGAAAGAACAAAAAAATGTAATTTTCTTTTTTGTTAATATCCCACACATTCCAACCACATTAATAAATGGCAAGTGGATAAAATACCAGTGTAAAAATATTTACCTAAATACCTAAATTTTGTCTATTTGTTCTTCATTCACTGTAGTGCCACACTTAGCTGTCAATGTAAAACAGTTTCTTGGTTTCCTGTGTTTTGTTCAGATCCCCGACGATGGGCAAAAGAGTGAAAAAGATGACCGGACAGATGGTGAAAATAATAACCATTGTTACTACTGTGACAAAGTGTATGAGACCGCCAATGGACTAAAACACCACTGCAAACAAGTTCATGGCAAAGACCGCTGCTTTGTCTGTGTTGTCTGTAACAAGGCTTTCAAACGAGCCACACACCTAAAGGTAGGAACATCCAAACACAGCACATGAGAAACATATATACTATATATATATGTATATATATTTATGTACATACACTGTCACTCTCTACAACAGGGGTTTCACATCTAATGTGTGCCCTCTCCTCTTTTCTCACTCTCATCTTCTTGTTGAGCCACTCGAGCGCACAAATGCTGAGGAGCGTTTGATTGCATGCACAAGCACTTTCCCACTTGTCATGTTTCTTAGAAAAGGCCCGTGCCCAACGGCTTTTACTTGTAAATGCACCACAATATGCTGAATGGTAATTGTTCCTCATAAAAGCAATGACATAGAGATTGGGAACACGACAGAGAGAGAGAGTGACCCAGCTCCTTCCTCTCCTGATCCCCAGGCTGCTCATTAGTCAGAAGTGAGAACCTGGGATGTTGAGTTTAGATTTTTAAAAGGCCCAGTGGTGAGGCGATAGATTGCTCCCACAGTTGTTTTTTATTCTGTTTGGCAATTGATAATCATTTTCCAATTAAATTATAGCCTTAAAACAACAACTGCTGATTTATACTTAGTAACACAAAAAAAGAAGTACCTTGTACAAAGGACCACTTCAGGTACACAGGGCCACGTCACAACTTCTTGAACATAAAAACAGATTGACATACATATGTACAAGTGGTGTCATGTGTTCAGACATTATGATGCACACATATAGAACAGGACTGAAAGAGTGCGATGCAATTAAAGTCCACAAAGGATTAGATGAACTGAAGACTGCAAAATATGGAAGTATTTTTTTCATTTTGCAAGTTCTGATGCTTTTTCTATATCTACCCGAGGCACTTTTGCAAACTCTTTTCCAAAATGACCGCAAACATTCAAAGTGAAGTCACGAGTTACTTTCAAACTCTCTCTGAGTTGTTTTTCCAAATCTGTAATTTTCCCAAGGACGAAACATCTGAAATACTGGCCACGTAGCAGACAGAAGAACAGTGTGCTGGACTATAACGGTGAATATAAAGTGTTTCCTTGCGTCTGCAGGAACATGAGCGAGTGCACAAGCCCGGGCCGTCACTCAGCTCGCAGAAACCCCGAGTCTTTAAGTGCTGCTCCTGCTCGAAGGCCTTCGCCAAGCGCAGCCAGCTGGAGAGGCACAATCGAACACACACAGGTGAGATGATAATGAAAGGAAATTAGGAATTAAGGTATTGTTTTCTTTAGCTCCCTTTAGCTTAAAAACTTGTTCTGTGGTCAACTGAGTCATCGCTTTAGCCTAATTCCAAGACAGAGTTTTATGATGTGAAAAGACGATATATAATATCAGGACTGTATATGAAAAAGTATATAAAAAGTAGCAAATCTAGTATCTGTGTTGATGTGCTATTGCCATCAGCAACCATGACAGAAAGAAAGCTCTTTATGTGTGTTAAAAGAGAGAAACAAAAAGCATAGAAATCAATGTATAAATAATTAAAGCTGGAAGTACAGGAGTAAAATATATTTTTGTTGACTCACATTGAGTTCATTTTTATTCACAGTAAAATGTGCATAGCGGTGACACTAGAAATAGCTCACTTACCAATTTTTAGGTCAAGTACTAATGGGTTTGTTGAAGTTATAATCTAATAACCAATGACATCATAAACACAACAACACAACATAGCAAATAACATACTCAGCTCCATTGGATATTCAGCTGTTATCTGTCTCTGTGATGAGCAGCTCCTCGATGTACACAACTAAATGATTCAGCCACGCTATTATAATTAGAAAAAAGTCATTTGAATGCTTATGAAGAGAAGTCTGATCAGCCCTCATCTCTTCTGGTTCATTTCACGGCCTTTTTTTCCTTTGACTTTGTCTCCAGGAAACATTGAATACAGGGCAGGAGAACAAGAAGCTATGATCTCTAGTTTTTTTTTTTTTTAAACTTTTATTCATGTCAAAAAAAAGTAGCAAAAAAAACTATGATGCACTAATAAGGAAAAGTAACTTTTATTATGTAATGGTAAATTTAGGACAATAATGTAGGTTAATATGTCTTTAATTTGCACTCATTTTTAATGCAAACAGAACTCAGAATTACATGTTATATAAAAAAAAACAGATGAAAAAGATCATCTGTCTTTAGAGAAACACATCATACCTGTTCATATCACACATCATGGAATGTGTGGTTATTGTGCAGACTGTCACACATTAGGAAGAGGCATCACCAGATGAGACCCATTAGGACCTGTGGGAAATAACTGGCATCAAATCAACTTTTGTAGTGATCATCAAACCCACTAAACCCAAAGAGCTTAAAGTGGAGCTGAAACGATTAGTAGCTATTTATTTCAGTATCTTCCAGCAAAGGTCATGACTGCAAACCATCTGCAGTCACCAAGCGCTGCTGTCTCCATGTCCTCTATTATTATGTCCATCAACCTTCTGTAGGTTCTTCCTCTTTTACCTCAGCCGCCAACATACTTTTGTTTTTTTTAATACAGTATATCTAGCACCTCTTCTAGGCTAATGTTCCAACTAATCTCAATGGGAACGTACAATGCAAAATTTACTTTGTTATGGTTTTAGTGCACATATATTTACAGCTAGAGTTTCTGTCTACTCCTTAAGTTTTATAATCCAGCAAAATCTGGAAATGTGTTCAAAAGTTAGCCATGCCGAACGCAAATGAACCGCATAAATGGTATCCGCTGGTGTCCTGCACCACCCTCATGTGCTTTTCTGCCACATCTTACACTCTCACACGTTCAAGAGTTGCCCATTTACCCAGAAAAAAAGTTTTAAAAATGCAATTTTCTTTGTCCTTGACAAACTGCTTCTTACCTTCAGTTCTCTTTCCTGTTACATAATTGTGTCACTTCATAATAAACTTCATACTTTAGCAATCTCTTGTAACCCCTATAAATTGACTTTGACTCCAGGTCAATAATACATATCTATATTCTGCAGGTGAACGTCCCTTCAAATGCCCTCAATGCGACAAGGCCTTCAACCAGAAGAGTGCGCTGCAGGTCCACATGGTCAAACACACTGGAAAAAAGCCTTTCGTGTGCGAGGTGTGCAACATCAGGTTCACGCAAAAGAGCAACATGAAGCACCACATGAAAAGAGCCCACGGCTACAGTAAGTAAACAAACGCCTTTACACACAAAACACAAACACACACACTGGATAAAAAGCATTAAATGCCTCTCTATTTTTTCTGTGTCAGTTTTGTTTAGTAATGATGAATATTAGGAGAAATGAGGATTTTATTGTAAGGTCTCCAAAGGCTCCTCAACCCTGTTTAAGTTCCACACATCCATCCTTTAAATGAGTGAATTTCAGGCAAAGAACAGTGTGATTAATTTAAAGAGAAATTTTTGATGGATTAATCAACCCCCAAATATTATTTAATTGTTTTTAATTAACTGGTTTATATATATATATATATATATATATACAGTATATATATATACAGTATATATATATACAGTATATATATACATATATATATATATATATCACTATAAGAATAAGAATAAATACAAGAAGAGAGTGCATTTTTACCTGCTATTGGTGTTTTCTCATACATATTTTTATTATGTTTTCACATATTTGTAGGTTGTAAGAGAACCTGTAGGGGGTCTCCTTCTTGAAACCAAAACTCTTGTGGCCAAGGCAGTGTAAACAAATTAAACATGACTGTGTAACAGCTAACAAACAAATGACATACTCACATATATGTATTAAGATTCTCAAACAAAGAAAAATATATTTAAAAAATAAAAGTTAATTCTTGAATGCACCATGCCTGATGGCTCCTCTGCCTGACGTATGCTTCTCATAAATCAGAGGAGATTTCACTGCTTTTGCACTTGTTATTTCTGGTCCCAGTCTCAGAGACAATGTTGTTTCAGAGGGAGTTATCATGTTTGATCTATTACCATCTGCTAAGCCAATTTTTACTAAAAAATACAACATGTTTTCTGCGCTCTGTTCCATTTGATTTCCTCACCTGCAGTTTCCTGGAAAACTATAGTGTTTCCAAACAGCAGACCTGTGGAGGTCACATCCATCTGATAGTAAGGGCTTGTCTGTGCTAACGATGAACTTGTTCTTTAGTTTCTTGGTCAGTACACATGTGAATGAACTATGTCAAGCAGAAAACATAAGAGCAAAAAAAAGATTATTTCAATACAGTGGTTTAGTGACAGTCATACTAAACTGTATTGGATCGATTTTGGAATTATCCTGTCTCCTCTTAACAGCCTAGGTAAAAATGTATTTTAAAATAGAAACAAATCATGCAAAATAGTCAGAAAAGGCAACTAATAAAAATGATTCCGGTTAAATGTCTCCACACACCAGACTTTTGATGGAATATTTCTTAAACTGAAAATGAACCGTCTCTGCAGATTGTTTGCTCACTGACACTGGAGAGACAGAAAGCTAGCATCAGATCATTTGCTTTTGTTCACTCAAAGCTCTCCTCTAACTTACTGGCATGATGTGAATTTCCCTCTCCTCATGGCCTCAGTCAAGGTTTAGTCTGCAGCTCCTTATTGTTTTACCTTGGTCAAGATTGCAGACTCACACTCACAGTAGTTTTGGCTCAACTCAAACATCAAAACACAGTCTTCCTGGTTGCTCCTGGAGCTGACCGAAGGTGAAATGAGAGTACTGAAAGGTTGTTTCTACCTCACCAGGTTTAGGGTTCACGTGAGGAATTTTGAAGTTCTGTCATCACACACATACTGCAAAATAAATACTTCCAATGAACATAATTTATCAGGCAAGATGATGTTCAGCAAAATAAGTTTTTCTTCCTTTAAAGTGTTAATAATGTTTTTACTGGGAGACTTATCTTAACATATCTTTTAAAATTAAATACATTTCGAAATCATATACCACACCATCTGACAAAGGACTTCACGAACAGCTTTTCTGAATAAAGTGCTATACAAGTCAAGATATAAAAATATGAAAAAAAACAACAAATCATAAGTAGCAGAGTGTTATTTACATATAATATTAATAACAACATTATTATTATTAATTAATAATAATAATAATAATTTGATCCTAAAAGAACTTGGAGCCAATGAAGGGAGGCTAAAACCAACAAATGGCCAACAAAATAAAATGGTACGTGAGATCACACATGGCCATGAATAGTTCTAGTTCTGAATTATTCTTTCTCAACTGTAAGGTACTTTTGTCTGAGAAAACCAGTCTTCCAATGCTGACCTGAAGTATTAATTGTATGCAATGACAACAAAGGGGCATCAAACATAAACAGAGCCTTTGTTGATATAAGAAAATTTCCACTGATTCAGGGATCCTGACTGTGCTGTGATGAATGAGAGTGAAACATATTTTAGCAAAAAATAAATAAAAACCTTGCCTGTATTGATCACAGTGATGATTCCGTTTCAGCTCCTGTAGCTAAAGACAAAGAGTTTGTCTCTCGAACAAATTGGTAATATAATGAATTTGTGTTTCAGATATAGAGGGTTATATTAAGAGAGCCTCACTGTAAAATGAATTTGTCTCCTTTAGTAGGAGAACTCAGCTCCTGCTCCTGCTCCTCTGAGTCTGAATCGGAGCGCCTTGCTTCTGGGTTTCCTTTTATTTCCAGTTATTTTAAACTGAATGTGCTCATGACACATGACTCATGTCATATTTACAACTCACAATGAGCATATCCCACATCTGTCGGCTCTTATTATGTAGTTAGCATAATTGACACAGTCTCAGGAAAAAGGGAGCAAACAGGGAGAATGTGAGATATTAAAACAAATGTTGGAGGAGCAAAGAGGGCCAAGATTGCTTTTTGACGGATGGCCTCATTTGCATGACAGCCGCTGGCAAATTGAATAGAGGATCAGAGCTGCTGGTGCTACTCTGTAAATGCGTCGTAATGGGCTTTTCTTCTCCCTCACAAAGCGCCGTTATTATGCCATCTCCGGGACTCTTGTGTGCAGGGCTCCTCTCACTGTCTCCATTTTCCTCCTTTTTTCCTCTCAGTTCAGATCCAGGAAGTGCATCTGCGACAAGCTCAGGCCGCGGTAACTCCTGAGCTTGACCTGGAGGTTGTTCCCGAATCATCTGGGGACTGGCAGAATGTATTTTCCTGACAGGTATCAAGAGTTTCTAAGTCAACAGAGATTTGCCAAAAATCTATCTTTTCTCCTTCTAACCTGTCGTCCAGTTAGAAACATGTTAAATTTTGCTTCACTACATATCAGGGGCTCTCAATGTCATAGCAGTGTCTTCATATTAATCCAAATTTACAGAGAAGGAAGAGGGGTCTGGTTCCCTCTAAATGGCTTAATGACTCTCATCTGTTTTGCTACTGTCTGATTGTCATCAATACTAAAACCTCCGGAGAGGTTTTGGCTCGATAAGCACAGGAAAGAAAAAACAAATCCCGATAAAGACTGCAGTCAATCCCGCCCATGTTTGAAAGTAAATTTGAGGAAGAAAAAAAGTCCTTTAGAATTAACACTCTTAGCTGCAAACACAGTTTTACACAGGTTTACATTTTTTAAATTATTTATTTTGTACATAATTTTGAGACATGTTTGGATTATGTTGTGAAGCAGCTCCAAAACTGTTTGTAAATTTTCGAAGGCTCTTCCTTATCGGAGGCTGCTCCAGCTTTTTTATGGCGTGTACATGTCATTATGATTTAAACCCAGCAGTGCACCCATGACCTTTACTGTAGTTAATTTTGTAAAAAGTCTTGTTAGAGTGCATATATATTTTCTGAGGATAGGTCACAACCTACAGAGGTTGTGCAGAATCATATACTGATGCAGTTGTCATGAAGTAAAAGCAAGTGTACAGGTAATACATTTTTGTCTCGCTTTTTTGCAGTTGTATTTTCTATTGTCTACAATAAATTAAGATAATTAAAAAGTAATTTTTGTATTAATTTGTTTCTCTTTTTTTGTTTTTATTCTTGTTTTGTTAATTACAAACTGTATGTTAAACATCCAGTCTCTTCATTCAATTTTTTGAAAGAATATTTGCTGTTGTTAGTTAAAACGCTAACTTTTTTTGGCACAGAAAAGACAGTTTGGTCTAATAAATACCAAGAGAACAGCATGGTCGTAATAAAGTGAAAATATACTGGACAGGTATTGTGACAATACCTTAGGTTGGTTAATGTACTCCAAATACTATTAAAAGTGCTGTGCACTGTCACCACTGTTTTTATCAGCGCCCTTAGTTTCGATCCAGCATGGTTCCATTTGAAGAAGAAAAAGCTCCGATTAATCCTTTTTTTCATGTTCTAAACCCTTTTTTGTTTTTTCAGTGTTAGATCTCAAAATCTTTGTCCCAGTCCAGTTTTCCTGCACTGTAACCAGAGTGGTCTTCTACGTTAATATTGTGTTTTTCTCAAAGCCAATAAATATTTAAGGACCCACAGTATGGCCAGCAGTGTTGCCTCTTCGTAACATTGTCTGTTAGTGAAATTTTGAGTTGTTTTCTTTAACTGTGCCTGAGACAGACCGTGTCTGCTTCCATCGAAACTACCTGGAGTTGTGTCGGAATGTTATTATTATTACTTGGTGTTGTCCGATTGCCAAAAAATACCTCTAACCTAATCTTTTTTTAATGAGTCCAAAAATGATTAAACCCATAGTTTAGATGGGATACTACTGCTCTAAATCCAGTATTTTCAGTGACATTGTAGAAACCAGGGCAAACCTTTCGTCTGCTGAGTTGCTCTGATGCAATAAAACCATTTTCTTTATGAGGCACATAAGCTGTCGTAGACAAAGCAAACACACAAACAAAAGAATGGTTTTATAATTTTTAATTATTTTTACTCTCAGTTAAGTGGCTGGTCATGTTTTATTACACATTGAAGAGGATGTTTACATTCAATCATTTGAAAGAAAACAACACGACACTCATCTTGAGGTGCAAGCGAACACAGACAGTGAGAGAAATGAACGTAACAACATCACACACACACACACATACACACACACCTTTTCTTTTAGATGAATGGATGTTTTTGATCAGCACGGGTGTCGATGTGCTGAATGTTTTTATTTATTATTATTTGGTCAAACTTTGAACCTGCACATTGTCACATAACATCTTATACTGTGTAATGTGTCAATACAGAATTAGTTCCAGAGCACCTTTTTGAAATTGTTTTTTTTTTCATCACACAAAAAGTAAACACCACATTCAAGGGTTTTTTGGTCATTCGGGGGCAAAGACACTTGTTGGTAAGCTTTGAATTTCATTGACACCGTGTGTGCTGTGCATAGAGAAGCAGTCAAGGTGGAGAAAAACAACACCAAGCAGAGATAAGGCCTGAATCTGAAAACAGTGGGAAACAGGTCACAACTAAGTTCTCTATATGGGCAGGAGATTAGTGGTTGCCGTTATCTCGTAGAAGACAGTGAAATGATTCATTAACAGGCCTGACTAATTTATTAAACCACAATCGCATCATAAAGTCTTAGAAAGTTTAAAAACCTTTTACCACGAAAAGCCCACAGCCAGCCTTAATGACATGAACGTGACACTGTAGGACTTTAGAACACTTGAAGTCAGCGGAGACACGAGGGCTGAGGGGAAACGCACACAAATGGCTCTCACAACAGTGTCAAATTAATTAATACGTTACAGAACTAAAATTGATGATGAGGTGAAGATGTTTTGAGGAGACGACAAAGGACAGAGTGACAAGACGAAAAAAGTCATCCTTGTTAAACTGAACTAACCCGGTCTTTTCTTCCCACCTATAACTGGCGTCAATGGTCAAGTCAGGCGGACTTGGACCGGCCTAAACTCTCTGCTGGTCCGAGTTTGCTTCAGTTCAGCCATCTTGAGTTAGAAGGAATGACGACGTGGACAAGGAACTCAAGCTGGGTCAGAGAGCCACACGGGGGGTAAGCGGGCCGTTCAGGCTGCACATGTGAGCGGCTTCAGGGTCATTTTTTCTTAACGACAAAAGCTACTGAGCAACAGAGGGAAGTGGTGGGTGGGGGTGCAGATTGTGTCACTGTCTACCAGCCAAATGAGTGAGAGGGGGAAGGGGTTTAGCGACATTAAAGTGTTATAATGTAAGGGTGAGTGGTGAGACGGTGTCCTCTTCTCCTTTTTTTTTTTGTTCTCCCCAGTTTAGTCCCGGTCTCTAGAACGTCTCCCCTGGAGGTGTTGGAATGGGGTGTAAAGTGGGACCTCAGCGTTTGGCTGGAGAGGAGCTCCTGCTTCCCTGTAATGCAAGAGACACAGTGTAAGAGCCACTCTGATCTCTCCGGAGTTGAACCCTTGATGTTTTAATTAGTTTTTAACGAGTGTTTGTGCCAATGTGATTTTGTTCACTTGAACACAATGAATAACAAACATTCATCACTGATAATGTTTGACAACTCAGTGTTTGGCCTCTTTCAACAACCACAGTCATTATGAGTCACCACAGACGTGCACACATTAGCTGTCTGGCCAACCTGTCACTTCTTTTGTACATGAGGTTTGAAGACACAATACAAAAAGAATCATCACATCAGGGTCTAACACTGAAAGGTCAGATTGGCTGTGAGAAAAAAGCAGTTTAGTAAAATGGTATGAAGGTGATAAAGATAAAAGAGGAAAAAATACTGTAAAAAATTGCAGTCTAAATTACGACTCTGGGAGTCACATATTTCTTCTGTAGAAGACTTTGGCTATGACCTTGTTGGTTATTTTCTTATGCAAAGCTAATTTTGCAACTGCAAATAACACATGTAGGATATGGATTGACAATGGTGGTCATTTTTAAAATTACAACCACTGGCTAACTGTTAGCAATGTAAACATGTTCAGTATAGTTCAAGAGGAGCAGGTTTGTCAGATTTTTATCTTTGAATAAAATGAAAATTGTGTTTACATGAAAAAAAAAAAGACAGCAAGAGTTTCTTGGGAGAGCCTGGAAAATAACACCAACAGGGGGCAGTAGTGCAACTCTGCTGGCTGTGACTGCTGGCTGCCATTTGAATCCAAAGGAGAAGAAGTGAATGTAGAATGGAGGGGAAAAGTTTCAACAGAAGAAAAGACTCAGTTCTGTAAGTGTTTGTGTTACAATGTACTGACAAGGTGTGTTTGAGCTGGAAATGCATTAGTTTTTGCAGTTGTTGTTCTAATTTGTAGTTCAGATTGGTCATTTGTTTGTATGTTTGCAGGTCCAATGACACCTTAGATTTGTTTGTTTATTTGTTTGAAAAGCTTACTTCATGCTAAAGTAAAAAGTAGTTTCACTTTTCACTGGGTTGTTTGTTTTACCATTCTTCTTGTGGCTGGCTTAGTTTATCAACCTTGATTTACATTTGACAGTTGTTAGATTTAGTTTAAATGTTCTATAATATGATAGTCTATTATCTGGCTAATCTCTTGGCTAACTTTTAGTTACAAGTCTTTAAACAGTAACATAAAGATTATTTAGATAGTCTGTTGTCCATGGCAGAAGACCTACTGGGTAGTACAATTTCACATTTTGGTTTTAGATCTAGAAATGTCATCCTGTGAGATAGAGAAGTGAGGTTTTAGCTCTGACTGCAGCTTCTGTTCAGGCAAAGAGCCAAGTTTACACAGAGGTACCCATCCATTCCTCAGGATGAAATGTTGTTTGTTCTGAAATTCAAATTGGAAATCCTTGAAATACGTCTCTGGAGCTACATTGCAGTTTTCACTTTGCCTGTGATTCTGAAGCGCAGCGGGCGTAATGTAGAACAGAAGAAAGATTATACAAATGAGACGTATCCTGGTGGATCACTCGAGGTGATAATCCATATCGCCAGAAGCTTCTAACTCGACTTTGGAAAACAAAGGCGGTGGAAAAGCCTTTTGCTCTGAGCCATTTTAGATTAAATCAATTGTCTTGAAAGAGAAGAACTCTATTGACTGCAGAGATTTAAATCAGAAAGTGTACAACACAAATTAAAAGTGAACGCGGCTTTCACTGAGTTCCATTTGTTCACTGACGCATTTCTTGTGCTGCAGAAACAATGGCACTGAGTCATGTCCTCATTAGTCGTCTCGTACAATTTAGACAACAGCATCCCAGGAGCTGCTGATCTCAAGAGCTGGTTAGCTCTGTGGATTAGTGACTACAGATGAGGACGCAGCCCCAGGAAAATATCAGTTAATGTCCACTTTTAATAGTCGTTAGGTAGAAGTTACTAATTTAAAATAGAGCAGAGAGAATTGTCAGGACATGATGGCTTCTCCTAATGACACCTGAGGTAAACTGATGAGCTAATCTGGGGATTTGTACTGCCCGTCGGCCCTGTTGTGTGACAATTGGTGCAGTCAGTGTTTGTAAATAGGAGTTCTGTGTTTCTATTTAAACAGTTCCACCTAAATGGTGCAAACAAAAAAACGTTTTCAAATCTCCCTGCTCAAAACTACATTTCTCAATGTGATGAAATTTCTGCAACAATTTATGAAAAATCCAGTGTCTATAAAAGGTGACGGTTGGTGTTAATGATACACCATCAGAAACGGACGGTTTCATTCTTTGCTTGACAGAAGGTCATGCTTGAGTTTTACACATAATCAGCAAAATAATATGAGAGCTCAGAAACTGAATATTGAATTTGACACCAGCAACGAGAATCTGAATGAAGTCTGAGACGTGGTGGGAACCAAATACAAAGATACAGTATTTTAATCTGTTTGTTTCAGTTTTTCTATAGGACAGTGTAATGTAATACTTTGTTGTTTTATAGGGGCTGAAGTTAGAACTATAATTTTATAAAATACAAATATTTATCCGATAGAGAGTGGGGGCTTCACTACTAATAGCAGTACTATATATGTTTTTTGTTTTCAAGTTTCTGCTATACTACTTGTGCTCTCTGGTTAACCTTTCTTCAATGACTCTGCTACTCTGCTAATGTCTTTTGCTGCCCCTTGTAACTTCTTTCCATTTTGTATGTATCTAAGGTGTTTTTTTTTTTTACAGTTTAAATTTAAAGTATTAAGTAAGAGTTATGGTCTGAGAATGTATTTTGTGGAAACACGTTGATGATAAAAGGTCACATTTTTAACTTGTACCCTAAACGACATTTCCAAATCTGTGGAGATGGCATTGATTTAAAAAATTCTACTTATATTTTAATAACTCTATAAATAAGGTGTAAGCAAGATTTGTTTTCTTGTTGCATTTATATAGACTCTTGGGTTCCACTGTGAATGTGACAGTAAATGGTTGTTTGTCTATATATATATATATATACTGTATATATATATGTCCCAGTGATGGACTGGTTAACTGTCCGGGGTGTGTCCTGTCTTCACCCGTCGACTGCTGGAATTGGTTAATCCACTTACTTTTGTGCTACTTGTGTCTAATGATTAGCTGTCCAACATTTGGTGAGCAGTGTGTTTGTATCACAGACACATGAAGTTTGTGCCGTATGGTAGGACATGGTTTAATGGTTGATTTTTTTTTTCTTCATTTAAGCATGAGAGATCACTTTCCTATAATAAAGCAGTTCCACTAGGTTAGCTAAAGTCCCGCTGGACGCTCAGCGGAGAGTGGATCTACCTCGGCACGATTATAACCCAGCTGGCACAGAAGCTCGTAGAATGGCACTGTGATCAATCTTGTGTCTTAAAGCCTGTTATTATTCTGCTGCTGCCGCTGCTGCCGTCGCAGTGGTAATGAGATTAGGGTGTCTTCAGAGCATATCAGTGTTGAACAAATGTGGAGAGGGTTAGACTTTAACTACTCCTTCATCAGGTATCAGTTACTCACTCTGCCGCTGATATCATCACTGAGGCAGGAAAAATATGCAAGAAAGTAATTAATAAAAAATTACATTTTCAGAGCAATTTTATTTCCAAGGAATGATAAGGAGTGGAGCAAAGTTACCGGGACAATAACTTGGACAGTGTCTATCACTAAGGGGTTTTTTTTTCTCCTTACCATTTTGAAGATCCTAGTCAGGGAACCTCTGCCGTCCCCGGAACTGGCCTTCTTGGCTTTAGAAGACTGTGACTTCTGGTCACCCTGGCAGAAAAATACAGAGAAAGTCTTGGTGTTAAATGAATCCTGGAGATGTTTGTCAAGGGATTTAGATGTGATTGTTGTTCTTTAGGGAGTAGTTAAAACAGATTATTAACAGCATGAAGAGGATAGAACCCTTAGAACATCATTCTGTTGGGTTTTCTCCACTTTTTTTTTTAAATAGAGAATTGATTTACATTGAACTACACTATGCCCTACGTTCCCAGTGTAATTGTTTATCACTTTGGAGAAGTGTTTGAATTATGTATGAGAAAGCAGTGAAGGAGTGTGGGGAAAGTGAATGTCACTGCAGAAGTTCAAGGTCTCTTCAGAGGCCATGTGACAGTGTGTTCTGAAACCCAAAAGTTATTGAGTTTCTAGAGTTTGTTTTTTTATTATTTTTCTGTGAAGGTCATTTTTCTTCTGTGTCATTGCATTCTTAGAAATTGAGAAAGAGCAGCTTGACTGGCTGGAGTCTCCTGGAGCTCTTTAACCACCTATTTAAGAGGAGTCTTCACTACTGAAGGTGCCTGAAGAGAAAGGTTAGTTCTAAGAGCTGAAAACGTTGTCTTTTAGAAACTCAATCATGTCCATTTGGCTGTAGTAACATATTTCTGTTTTCAACAGAATTGACTGTTGAAGTAATAATGGATAACGACATGGAACCAAACTGAGCTCCAGTATCACCTGCGACTTTGGCCATTGACCTGCCATCAATGTTCATCTATCAAGGTAAGACAGAAAATTACAGACTTTGTCAGATCTTTTTTCTGCAACCAGTTGAGCCGTTTCGACTGGACTGTTTTATCGCTACGGATGTGGTCAAGTGGCATGGAACTGGGAGGTGACCAGAGAAAACTGAGCAATGTTTTATAAATATACCTGCTGGGTTCATGTTCATGTTGCATTGCTCTTCTCGTGATATGTTGAGCACCTTAGTTATTCAAATGTATTTTACTTTGAGGTAGTTTTGTCATAGCATGCATGGCAAGTTATTTCAGCTGAGAGTTGACCAAATGTTCTTGGTCATGAATGTGTTGTTAATATTACTGACGGTTGGTGACCTTAGATGACGGCTTTGTGTTTGAGGAAAAGAGTTTTGTAGAAATCTTTGTAGGAATTTCCTGTGATATTTTTTAGTGTTTTAAAAATGATAAGTTGTCCTTGTCTTTTTAACCTTTGGCTTAAAACAACTGCTGCTTGAAAGTCAAACACATCATAAATGTGTATACATTCACATTGTTTTGGTCACAAACTGGCAATAACAATGGCAATAAAGCAGGAGGCGGTGTCTCCTCAGTCAGTCACCAAGGAATTTTGGACTGAAACAATGATAATGAGAAATGGAATAATGGCTGTGAATGCACAATATGGCCTCATGATATGCAGCAGTCAGGCGGTAAAAAGCTGTGATATGGGGATGATCTATTTGAAAATGGACTTAAGTCGCAGGGAAATGAAACTGTTATGACTGATGTGTTGGCAGATTACACTGCCTCTGATGGGGAATGAAATGGAAGTGGAGCCGCGGGCAACACACTCAGAGGCAGACTTAGCCGATGACCTCACTGGCTTTTAGCTTCAGTTTAATTAGACATGTTCCTTTATTTCTTAGTTTCAAACCACCTACCAGGCCCATCTTGGCCGCTGCTGCCCTCCACTGCACATGAGAGAGACAAGAGACAAGGAAAGGAGGGGAAAAGAGAAAGGGACAGAGAAGAAATGTGTGTCTTACTCAGAGCAAATTCAGGATTGGGAGGACAAAAGGAGGCAAGTGGGAGGGTCCATCCAGGTGGGGAAGAAGTCAAGGGGTCAGGAACAGATGACGGATAGAGGAGAGAGGGGGGAGGGAGATACATATGCAGGAATATGAGAAATGGGAAAGAGATATGAATAAAACAGAATAAAGACACAGATACTGTAATATCTGAGAATAAAGCTCTATTTAATAGCTATAAATGAGAAGCAGTGCATCATGGGAAACATGCCTGTATTTCCTGTGGCTTCATTTTAAAGCTCACTGTCAAACTGTCCTGCCTGTAAATCCTTCACAGAAACAAAGAGTAATTTACAAACATAACGGACCTAGTATGAACCTGTGGTTCTCAAACTAGGGGGCAGACCCCTCCCAGGAATCAAATCAATCAATTTAAATATCAGTATTTCTTCTTTTGCTAGTTTGAGGTAAATGCCTTATAATTCTCTGTGTTGTTTGTTTGAAGTAATTGCTGTGAACGTGTCAACATATAGAGTGGAAGGGTCAATGATAGCCCTATTTTCAAAAGGGGGCGCTGCAGGAAAATAATCGCTTGTGTGCACACAAATGAGCTGCAAAAAAATCTACTTAACTTAATAGGTACTATTTTAACTTCAATTTAAATGTCAACTTTACATTATAATATTAATAATAATATATATAAGATTGCCAAGGGTTTGACCACATATATGATCTTCATTAAATTTATGCCAAACCTTTTTAATGCAATACTATAATTAACAGTTTCCATTTACATGATTTTTACTTAATTAAAATGAAGGAAATGGGCATTTGTTTATGACTCACTCACTGGTTCCTTCCATTAACGCATTCAATGTGTTCATAAAAACATACTTCTCATTGAAGGAGTTTATTAATTAAACAACATAAATTCTTCAGCTTAGTCACACTGCCATTTCCACTCAATGTGTGGTTGTTGTTACGGAGCTAATGTGATATTTCATCAAGTCTGTCCTTCCTTTGTCCTTCTAGTTCCTCTGTTTGATTTAGTCAGTCTTCTACTATATTTCTTTTTTAAATAACCTTTTTAAGTAATTTTCATCTCCTTAAATTATAAACATGAGCATAGATGTCTAAGTGATCTTTCATTTATTTGTTTAAATGTTTTTTTTACCTTCTTTGACTAATGTATAGATGACATTAAATTGCAGTTAAATTGCGATTTCAACATCTTCATATTGGCAACAAGACAACAATTAAAGATATTGTATTTCAAAACAGGTCAGCGTTTAAAGTTGTACAGAGGACACTGTGTGTGTCAGACTCACCCTGGACTTAGGAGGAGCGGGGGACACCTGAGGACGAGTTAATGAGAGAAAGAATAGATGTTTGACAGAGTTAGTGAGAAATCAGAAGGCAGAGGGCAGTAAAGAGACACACTTTGGAATACACAAGATGAGTTTGTGAGGATTTATTTTCTTCAATTTTCTTTGAGGTTTACTCACGATCGTGCGGAAGAAATGGACCACAGCGTTCTCTGCTCCACGCTTACGTGGGGAGGTCGCAGAGGCTTTCTGAGGAGCTGGAGAGAGAGCACCTCGGAAAGATCCCTGGAAAGGAGAGGAGAAAGGAAAGGAAAGAAGGAAAAGAAAGGAAAGGAAAGGAAACGCAGGTTACTTGGTTACTTATTCATCTGGCTCCTTTTGGATTTTCCCTCATGTTGAACCAAGTCAAAACATCTTAGGAGAACCAAATGATTGGATGTTGACTTCAGTGTGTGTTTGTTCTGGTTTTGTTCTACTTTGTTCTACCTGTCTACAGATTAAGAAACAAAAGGGCCAAAATAACCTGTTGCCAGGGCAGCAATGGAGGTGGCTGATGGGAGATGGCAGTTGTTCAAAACTGTTGATTTAAAGCAGTTTCTTAATTTTAAACACGAATGATAGTGTAGGTTTTTATATTAACCTTACTATCATCTGCACTTCATTACTATGGTCAAGGAAATTGGGTCAATTAACTAATAAAATTAGTAATAAAAAATATTGAAAATCTACCCGAAATAAGTGAGACTCCTGCTAATACTGAATAATTTGATTTGTTACTAATACTTTTTAATTATACCTCAGTGAAAATTAGAAAAAAACACATTAGATACTTGAAGAAGATCTCCATTTCTCTTTTTTCAATTCCTGTGAGTATATTAGCATTGTGTTCAACAAACAGGCACAGGTTTAACACTAAGTAAATAGAATGTTGAAACTGAAAGACTATCTATATTTGCTTTTCGTGACATTTGTTGTGGGATTATTAGAACGTAAAATATGTGCGACACCTAAAAAAAACATCGGAACCTTGTCTACCTTTGAAATGTAATGGTCCAATATGCTAAGTATAAAAAGTCTAGAGGCCAGTGGAACAGACTGGAACCATTTTAACATCCTCTTAGAGAGAAGAAATAGTCCTGATTATTCAACTCGTTAACTTCTAATTAGACCAAGAAACAGGGAGTCAGTGATTAGTGAGGTGGTAAATGTTTGGCGTGTGTCTAGAAAGTATTTTAAAGGTGATGTTGACGCCCAGATGTCCTTCATCCATACGTTCTCCTTCATTCAGCAACCATAACATCAGCTTCATTAATCCTTCTCCTGAACCTTTGCTCATCATTCATTAAAACTAATTTAAAAGTGGAGCAAACAGGAAGCTGAGACGCTGTTTATTTTCTTCTCCTTTAGCTACTAGGAGGATGAATGATCGTTCAAATCAATTTAGCTTCACTGGTGTCAAAGTGACTTTCCAGAGGTCGATGTTCTCCTACTTTTTACAATTAAAATTCTACGAAAAAAACAAACAAACAAAAAAAACGTAGCAATGATAAAAGAAGTAAGAACACACAAGAGTTGAAGGACATCTGGACTATCACCAAACAAAATCAACAACCAGCTGCTGGTGGGAGAAATGTTCATTTCCACCCACTCACTAGGTTCTATCTTTTTGCCTAATGTTACCTCGATGATGTCTTTCTGTGAGCCCATTAATGTGGGAGGAAAATGTGAGAGTGAGTGTCTTGTCGGTGGAAGGAGTTCAGCTGATGACTCATGCTTCCATTATTTCACATCAAAGAACCATAAGGTAAAACCAAATGGGAGGAAACCATCAAAATCATCAACAGGTTATAGTGGACCTTTACTGTTTTCTGGGTCTTTGTGTAGCGGAGGAGTAACATCACAGTTTAGATGTGGGTGGCTGGAGTGTTTTTAATGAATGGTGGTGGAAAGGGATGTTTTTGGTTGTCAGTGTTTCTTTCATACACAAAATTCAGTTCTTTCTTCAGAAAGAATACCCCTCCCCCTCCCCACAATATTTTCGTGCTATCTTGGGGCACCACCCCCACCTTGAAAAACTATAAAATAATAATTATATCTTTTTTGCCTTGACTGCTTCTACTTGTCTTTTTTGAAGTGACCTCTTAATGACGTGACTTTTACATAATCCTGCGTGATTGCGTCTATAGGACAAAGGTCAGATGTGTCTGTTTCTGAGTGGATGAACATAATAGAAAATGAGGGCAACAAAAGGAAAGGAAGTGAAGAGAGGGGTGAGAAAACCCTGATTGGCTGCTGGCCTGCTGCTGTGGCCTTTGCTAAAGTAGAAAATAGTGGAGATGACGGAAGAAAAAGTCGGATCAAATGAAACTGAAAACTCAACTGAAATTCAGACAGGTAGCTTCTCTATTTCAGCCAATCTCTCCCTTTGATCCTGATGAGTCGCTGCTCTATTTCTACCTTCTTTAACTCAAAAACACAGTTTTTCTGTAGGTTCTTTTTCAGAACTTTCAAAAGGAAAAAGAACATATGGGCAGAGATTCAAACCTCATTATGTTTACTTTGAGATGGAGAAGAGGTTTATGACCTTCTTTCTGTTACATTTCTTAGAGATTGTTTGTATTTCCCTGTATTTTTTCTTACCATTTCATAGTTTTGATGTAATTATTATGTCAGGAGATAAAACATGGTGTGAATCTTTGTGGACTGTTTTCACATCAGTAGAGCCAGCCATTGCTCTTGAGTTCGAAGGTCACCAACTAGTTGTGAATTCTCGTACATTATGAATGGTGTTTATTTCTTGATCATCAGTAGTGGGAGATTGGTTTAAATATTTAGATATTCCTCATTAGTGCCTTTGCCTTTGTGGACCAACGTTATAACTAATGACTGGTATTTCTGACCTGGAGCCAAATGTCTCAGGGACTTAAAAGTTGGTTGTTAACAAGGTGAGGCGTGTGATTTCTGGCAGTGGAGCTGCAGACACCTAACTGTGCACAGGTCTGATATCTCACATATTCATGCCTGCCCATTGTGAGGACACAGGCATGCAGATTACAGACTCTCAGCATCACACCTTCCCTGTTCATCTGTCAGATTGTTCACCCGAAGAGAGGACTGATGATTACAATCAGGGAAAAAAAAGAAGCTGAGGTGAAGTATTCTCACCAAAAATACCATAGCAAAAATACCATAGCAAAAATACCATAAATACCATAGCAGCTTAACATGCCTGTGAGAGGGTTCGTCACCTTAAATTTCTTTTACCTGTCTAAAAGCTAAGCTGCAGGGCAACCATAGATATGAGACTTTTTTGGTGTCATCACAAAGATGACGTACAGTACAGTCCAACACAGCTGCACTTGTGAAATGAGGGCCATTTGCTGTGGGCCAGTGACAATTAATCATGATTAATCGTGATTGTAAAGGGTCACTTTTGTTTATGATATAAATCAACAAAAATCCTGTATACAGGTGTGTTTAACACCTGTGTTAATTTGTGACTAATCCAAATGATTCAAACCTTAGTTTTCCACTGCCAACATCCGCCCTCTATTGTTAACCAAAGGCAACAACAGTGTCTCTTCAGGCCACTTATGGAGGCTAACTGTTTTTTTTATTAATTTGTCACAAATGTAGTCATAAATAAAAGCCCTTTATCGTTGTCTGTCAGATGCACATTTTTGATGGTTTACAATGCTTTATACATGTAATCATATATTGGGCACATTGAGAAGTTTAAATCTGTTGCGTTCACAGAACGTTTCGTTTCCATTGATAATGATAGTAGTCGCAGGGCCCTGACAGCAGAATGTTACGATTGAAATAACCACAGCTCTTTAACATCATTTCACCTTTTAAATGTGTTTGGTTTTAACATCACAGGTTTATAACCTTTAAAAAAGACTGATCGTTTATCTTAATGGTACACAGATTTGGTCAGAGCACTAAAATAAATGGACTAATGAATAAAAGTGTCTGAATCACAGCCAGTTGAAAAAGTAATGACACATTCAGAGTCAAATGTGCCAAAAAAGTTAGTAAAAGCATTAAACTGTTTGATATTCAGCAAGAAAACTTCATGGACATTGATTTTTTTTTTTTTTTTGGCACCAATGAAATGCCTCAGGCAAAGAATAAATGTTGTAGAAACTAACACACGGTGGCAGTATTGCAACCAAACAATGCCACCTGACGTCAAAATGTTCAGATCGAGTTTGTTGTATTTGCTTTATTTCAGTTGGACCATAATGGTAGAGGTTTGTGTAGAAATATTGAAATAGTCAGAGAGTAACAGTAACTTGTGGCAGCAGATGGCGCTGCTCCGCAAAAATGGTCTATTGCTGCTTGATAACTTTGTTTTTGGTTGGAATAACTTTATCCCTTTCCTAGTTTTGAGTGATTCTTTGCTATTTGACTGTGTTGAACTTGGGGGCAGTAAACACAGCGGTTGTGTTCTTCCTCTGTGTGTAGCAGAAATAAACGGACTTACAGTTAATTTCTCAGTATCAAACATTTGGAGCTTCTTTTTTTTACGATCGTACTTTTCTCCAAACACTCAGATGTTTGAGATTGAGATTGTTTCAGATTGTGTTAGTTTTTACTGCGTAGCTTTCTCCACTGCCAAGGAGAACGGCCTACAGTATAATGATGAAGAGTTGAATCTAAAACACAACATTAAAATGAGACTCAATTCTCTGAGTTGAACTCACTGCAGGTGAAGCCCTTGTTCACAAACTCTATTATTAATATTAATGATAAGACAGTTTAGACACAGTATGAGGTAGGGGTCAGTGGGGAGGAGGAGTGGGGGCATTAAGTCCATATAATTGTGTGTAAATACGCCGGAAACAAGGACAATGAGTCCCAGTGTAGTGACGACAGGACGGCGACCTTAAAGTCGTCACGCTGAGTTAAAGGTGTTTAATTCTCTTCCGCTGGCGTTATCGTCTTCAGACTCACACAAACAAGTCAGGCCAGTCATCCATTACTCAATATTATCATAATGCAGATAAACAGCTTAAACCTCTGCTGATATCTCCTTTTATTTTGCATAATACTCCTGTGACTGACTGAAGTGTGAAATATATTTATTCATTGTGACGTTTCTCGTCTTCAAAAGCTACTCTGCACACGCACAAAGCATGTGTGCTCGGAATAAATATTCTGCGTTAAAAGTGTGTCACGTCCTGGTGCCTGCAGTGGCCGAAAATTGAATTTGCAACACCTTAAAAATTGGAGCAATAACAAATCAGAGAGGATGACTGTAACATTGTGTTAGCAGAAGGGTTAAATCCATTTATTGTTTTACAAGAGAGGAGGAAAAAAAAACAACAAATAAGAACAGGGTGGTGCTGTTACAGAGATTTATTTAAGCCAAACTTCAAAAAGCTTATAGAACAGGATCAGGTTAGGAACAGAAACAGTAACAAATACTGCAAAAGTGGAAGGTGTTACACAAACCAGGGTCAGCACTGACCCCCGAGGTCAAAGGCAGATGAACCTGAGGCAAACTGTCTGATGTTAGTGGCTGGACGGGTTGTAATGCACGACCTGTAGACCGTATGTAAGAACTGGACAAAGCTGTTGCATCTAAAACTTGTTGCTCTAGATCTCAGATCATCTCCGTTTAAGCATTTTCAATATTTTTTCTATTTATGATCAAATTCAATTTAGTTATTAATGAGAGACAAACAGACAACATTGTCAGCACCAGAACATAACAGCTTTAAATCACCAAGGCTCCTATTGGACATTAAAGCTGTCAATCATCCAGTTTCCAATCAAACATGCTGCACTGTTGTCTGTTTTCCTCGTAGTGGGATCATATTTGACAAAATTGACATTTCCAATGACAGAGACCTGAAACCTGTCGTTGAAATGATAAACTCATGAGGGAAACGAAAGACATTGAGGAGAAGTGTCATCATTCCATTCCATTTATAGACTTTTTTCAGGGGACAAAAAAGTCAAATTTCTCAGATACGGCCCACGGTCGTAGCACAGACATCTTTGTCCAGTGGTGAAGACATGGGGATGGAAGTACAATATACAGTTTTGGTTTATTTTTCAAAATACATTTGCAGATAACGACTTAAAACTGTCTCCATATCTTTAAACAGGTCTCTTAATTTAAACTAAAATTATTTTCCAATTTCTGACATGATCAAATCATGATCAAAAACCTGTTAGCATTCACATGCTGTTCCTTCTATGCCCTGAGACTGGAGCTTTATTTTTTATTTTTTTTGGTTTATTTTTGGCATCGTCACTTGTTTTGTCTCGTGCTTATGTATGATGATGATTTAACGTTTCCTGAAATTTCACCATTTGGGCTCACACTGGATAAAATGTGAATAACTTTGAAAAAGCACAAGAAAATTAAATTAAAAATAGCTACAAGAATCCATCTTTACAGAATTAGGCATGCAAAATCAATCACCACGGCTAACAAGACAAAACCGGCCCCATAATACTGCAGCTGAAGAGTCCACATAAGCACCGAGCATGTGTTTAGAAAATATGTGCTTACAAAACACAAAGATCAGTATTTTCTAAATCTGAGTCAAACGTTTTCTCCCAGGATTGTTTGCTTTCTGAAAAATACTCTGTTGCAGCAGAGAGTTTGTGCAGCCTGATTTTTCTCCCTTTGCTTCAGGCCATTGAGGGATCTATCTGTCATGTCACTCATGGCTTTAAAGGCAAACCCTTGGTGAATACAATACAATATATAAATATATTTGTACAACTCTTGTCATTAATGTGGAGGAGAAAAAAAAGTACAATTCTACTGTGAAAGAAAATCCAATACTGCAACAGATTTGGTCACGACGCCAGTGGTAAATAAAATTCATACAAGGCTGCACATAATTTGTTCTTTTGACTATTTTACATTAGCAGAAAAGGGAAGAAATATATATTTAATCAACGAAACGGGCTTCAGGGGAAATAAGCGAGTTATGCAGTGCTGCATACGTTTGTCAGAGTTGATAGTAAGGCCTGAAGGGTGGGACAGTAAGGAGCATTGGGTGGAGGAAAGGAAGGGTGGGTGCATATATGTGAACAGCCTCTCCAGCGACTGTGATAACTGATAAAATAGATGGACGGCAGCTTCGTCCACAACAGCTCTCCTGTATAAATGTTAATATTCTTATTTGACAGCAGGTGTGCAAAATGTACAGCCAGAAAATACAGTATGTCCAGGCTCTGGGATTTAACCTGAGCTTTTTTGTAAAGTTTTGAAGACCAAAACATGCTCCGTTCTCCTCTGAACTTCACATTTACATGGCTTTCCAGAGGAAAAAGCTAAATTTTTTCATTGCATTTGTTGCCTCCAGGTGAAGTCACTGAGCGAATGCCTCAAAGCAGAGCTGCAGTATGGGTTCATCAATGCCATACAGTCCATGAGGACTGGGAGAGGCTTTCAGTGTTTTAGCTTCAACCTGGCAAACTGTAGCCAGGGACACAAATAGTTTTGACAACAAAGTCATTAAAATGAACAGCGCCGGGTCATAAACATGTTGCGATTACACTGTTCCCTTCTTTATAGGCTGCAGCTGCTTGTCTGAATGCCCACACAGCTACTACTGAGATATACTGCATATTATATCAGGTTCCGTTTGATCTGGTACTACATAATGCAATCATTTACTATAAAAGTGACTTGGCAGACTGCTGTGCTGTGCAAACTTCCCTCCCTGTGGCTGTTCACAGATGATTTAAACAAAAATGTGTCCAAAGACAAAAGACTCCAAAAGTATTTTCAGAGAAGCAGCATTAATGGCCTATGATCATAAGTACCAGTATTTTTTATCATCTAATGCCTGAACAATTTCCCTGGGCAATTGTCTGCCATCATCATTTAGAAAAGGACCTGAACTGAGACACAGCTTTTCTGCACTCTAGTTTGTTAAAAGTTCCACTTAACAAACTCCAACTTTATGGCAGCTACAAGTTCACATCTACCATTTAACATCTGCAACAGGTAAATAGAACAGAATAAAATGCTACTAATGTCAGTACCATTCAAAGTAATGGAGACCAGAAGAACGAAGAAAAGTATCTTTGAAACAAAAAAATAAATCACAGCCTCTTTGTAGTGGAAAAAACCAAAAGAAAAGTCGATATCCAAAGGTGATTTGTTAAATACAAGCCAGGTTCTATAACGTGTAGACTCAGAAAAGAAATGTATTGTGAGGAATATAAGTTTTGCAAACTTCTTGTAACTTCTACAGAATCAGATGTTAAAACAGAGGCTGTGCAACAGAATGATACAAGAGAGGAGTCGAGCTTTTTCCATCTCGACCCGTCGCTGCATCCTCACCTTGCTCTTTCTCTTCTTGTCACCTCCAAAGAACTTTCCGATCTGATCCAGAAGACCAGGGTTCTTCTTCCTGCGGCCCAGGCCAAAGGTGGCCTGAGTGGAGCTGCTTGAAGATGCCATGGCGTTTGCGGTAGTTGGTTGGATATTTGTCAAAATGTGAGGTTCGCGTTCTCGTTAGCGAGAGATAGAAAGGCAGAGGAGGAAGAGGAGTAAAGAGAGGAGAGGGAGGGTGGAAAAAAAGCTAGCCTAGTCTAGGTCCTGTTCGGGGCTCTCCGACCCGCACTCTGAAGCCGCTGCGCTGTGCTCCTGGATGGTCTGCAGCTCGTCCGATTCAGAGGGTCGGTCTTTGAAGGTGTTGTCCTCACGGCCCGGGGCATCTCGGGAGAATAGGCGGGCCAGGTGGGGGCGTGGTGTGGCGGCGTCATCGTCAGCTGTGTTGGCGGAGGTCCAGGGCTGGCAGGGGCCCTCAGCGCCCGTGGAGTCAGTCACCGCCGGCTTCTGGGAGATGCAGCCATTGTTCTGGTTTGCATCTGCCTCACCCAGTCCTGCGCAGAAAACAACAAGGGTCATCTATGGACTCAATGCCCGCATGGCACACAACAAAACCGCAGCAGCACAATGGGCCCTTTAACTGTGCAGTGGGCCTTCCTGCTGCAGCAGCAGAGACCGACATTTCACAGATTCTCATCTGTGCAAAATCTGGCAAAGATCGAACAACGCCATAACCGAAAAGATAACTCAGATCTGAGTTCTTGTTTGGTCTCTGAGATCATTGGTTGATCTTTCATGTTATTTTTCAACACCTTTCTGTTGCCAGAAAGTGTAGAACACAAAGTTAAACCAAAACTGGATCATCTACTGTGGCGTGTTTTTCTCTGAACCTTGAGTCATGAGAACACTTGAGTTTCAGGTAGTTTCATACATTGTTGAGTTGCTAGAAAAAAAATGACAAAGAAAACAAGAAAGATAAATAGATCTGCCAGGCACATTCAGGTCGCACCACTTTTGTAACTAAATCACCTCCACATAAATTCAACCCCGGTGGTATCATGGGTAATTTTTCAACAAAGCTCGTGCTACGGTGAGATGAAAACACAGTTGTTCCTGTAAAGTCCACTTTGACAGCTATCCATTAAACTGCTCCACTCCCACAGCCACAGGACGTCCAGTGCATTCCTGC